TCCAAAACCCAAAATACATGTGTCATACATATACAGTCCAGTTTCCTTTTTTTTTCCTCAAAGTAAAATGTGACACAAAACTTTTGCTGGGGAGGCACAGAAATTTGTGTGGCACTTCCAAAATTTAAAATATAAACCAAAGAAGAAATTCACTTTCTTAATAAAAATGTCACTAACATCATGGCAAGAATTATAATAGTCTTAGAAATTAATAATCATTAGAATTGCTAGTTCAGAAATAATTTAAGAATACTGTGATCAAAATACTTGTATATTATATTTCTGTGACAAATTCACATAAAGTATTTACACAAGCCTCCTGACTCTACCGAAATAGGTTTTGAAACTACAACTGAATTTAACATGGAATTTTAGATTTTGCACTTTTAAACAGACCTCTTACTTATAAATGAAAAATAGTATTTTGGCTATATTTAGCATTATATGGAAAATGCAAAAGTACTAAAATATCCCATAAAAGAAAGAGGTTTAATTTAGATTCCAGAAAGTAAGTCATAAAATTCATTTCTATAACATAAACTACTTGTATGTTTAGGAAGTAAAAAAAATTGTTATTTTAGTAATTTAAAAAGATATTTGCTTTCTAAATAAAATGAAATAACCATGAGATGTGTTCTGTGGAAAATATTAATTTACCAGTGGATGGTATATTACAAAGGGACAGGAATCGGATATCATTTCTACATTTTTCAGTTAAAAAGTACTAAATAAATGTGTGGTAAATATATGAATGAATGGATTTCATTTTGTTTCAATATTTCTAGTAGTAAGTGGGAATTGGTGAGTTGAGCATAAATTGAAAGCTTCATAAATGGGTTGGACCCATGAAAATTTCACCGTCTAGTGTTGAGAAATAACAATTCCATACTGACCAAAAAATTATCCTCTCCTAAGTGAAAAAGATGGCTGGGGAAATCTCTCCCCTCCCCTAATACTTTATAGTTATCCAAATTCTTCAGAAACGTTTTTGAACATTTTAGGGTAAATATACAGTAAAAGGACTCAAACCTTTGTAAAACTACTTTGTTTCCATTATGTACTTTTAGCTACAATCATAGAAAGTATACTTTGATAGAAAAATGTTTATGCGTTAATTGTCAACTGTTTTAACATTATTATTATTGTTGCTGCTGTCTTTCATTCAAAAGAAATTGTTAAATTTAATATTATTACAGTACTATCATTGTTTTACCTTATGTTAGACCTCATTAGTTTAGTTTTAAAAGTTCTCCATCCCAAAACCAGAGATATTTTCCAACACTTCTTTTAGTTACATTTTAATTTTGCCTTTTAATTATGATTCAAATTGTTTCTCCAGTATCAACGACTAGAAAGACCCTTGTATCCTATTAAATTATGGCCAAATATCTCATATTTCAAGGTCCCATATGTACATGTGTTGTTCCAAAGTTCTCTGTGAGCTGTTTTGACAGCAGCATCATATGAGTTTTGTAGTTGTCATATCAGACAGTACAGGAACTCCCATCCCATTGTTAATTCTTTAAAAAGATAACTTAGCTATTTATAAAATATTATTTTTTTGTAGTTTTTAGAACATGTTCATTAGTTTATAAAATAAAATGCAATACTTTTTGTGTTGGAAAATGACATACCTGGTTTCAGGGACTGTTGCCTTGCCAACAGGTGAGAGGGTGGCAAGCCTGGAAATAATGAAGGAGGCCTTGGGAAAACAGGCCACTGAGGAGATAAAACCTGTCTTCCTGGAAGGGGCTGCACCCCTGCCTCCCTCACATCACCTGCTTGGCCCTGTGATGATCCGTTAGTCAAAAACGGGTAAGATCTCTCACGAGGAGGGATGACCTAAGCCAGACACGGCCAGTATGGGCAGCAGACAAGGACTTAGGGAGCACGTAGAAAGGGCAAAAAGGCCTGCACCCCTCAGTTCAGACTGAACATGGCCGGGGTCCTCATTCTATCTGAAAGAAGTTTCCTTATCTCTTGGTGACTCTGCCCCGCACACCTGGCTCAGGCTTAAAACAAAACTAAAGGCGGGTACAGCCCTAAACTGGATCGGATGGTTCCCAGGGACAATCAGGCCTAGAAGTAAATTCCTCTAAGCCTGCTTTGTTCTTCCCTCAAAAGCTCATATAATGGGCTCATACTGGGAAGGAGGTTTACATTATTCATAGACCCTGACCTGAGGCAGATCTCTTGTTTTTCTTCAAAAGTTTTCCATAATCTCTATTTGATTACTGTAAACATAGCCTTTTGACATTAATTGATGAGCTTTGCTGTATACCCCTGTGCATATGGTTCTCAATAAAAGCCTTCGGACTCGGGAGCTCAGAGCCTTCTTCACTAGAGGAAAGAGCCATGCCCCCTCTCCTGGCAGAGAAGTGCTTGTGACAACTCGTGTTCATTCCTGCCATCCATGACAACCCCAGGACCGGCTCTGTGGGATTCGATGCCCTGCTCCCTCCTCAGCTGGCTCCAGAAAGTAATCCTCAGATCCAGGAGCACCCTGTGCTCCCTGCAACACGTCACTCCCTGCAACAGATAGCGCCCAAACAGGGGCATTTTTGCTATAGCATTCAATGTATGAGTTAATGTGAAAAAATTGGTATCTTGGCCAAATTAAGGCATAATATCTAAATCCATGTATTATATTTTAATGTAGTCAGAACGTCTATTATTTTTCCAAGTTTAATGTTAATAGGATAATAAAAACTTTTTATAGAGAAATTGAGTATTTTTTGTAAGTTAATTCTAAGATTTTGCATTTCTTTTGCTATTATAGCAGACAATATATAATTTCCAGATACTGTGACTGATACAGAGAAACAATTTTATATGAACTGCTTATATTGGCAAACTTTACTAGGCTCTACTTTAAATATTTAATTTTGAGACTATGTCAAGAAGCTATAATGAGTTGATAATTTTAACTGCAAAAATTCCAAGAATTTCTGCAAATGAAAGAAAAATTACCATAAACAAAGAAATAAACACATAATAAGGTATAACAGAGTGATATAACAGAACAAAGGAACATTATTTTAGTAAATAAAAATATCCTAAAAATCATTGTACATTAAACAAATATTTATTGACTTCTACCACATGCATCATTTCTGAGCATCATCTTTCTCACAACAAAATGTTTTAAAGGTTCTTTCATGTTGTGTCATATATTAGTAATTTGTTCCTTGTGATTGATGAATAATATTCTATGGTGTCAATATAATGAATTTTATTTACCTATTTATCATTATTTGATAAACACTTGGATTGTTTTACTTTTTGTCTACTCTAAATAAAACTATAAATGTTAATGTTTTTCGTGAACGTATATTTTCATTTTTTTTAGTATATTCTAGGAATAGTATTGGTGGGTTATATGAATAGTCTAATTAATTTTTTGAATATCAGACCCTCTTTTTTTAAACACCTGCATGCACCATTTTATATTCCACCAGTAGTGTATGAGAGTTCCAATTTCTACAGATTCTCACCAATGCCAATATATATAATGTTTTTTGATCACATTATTGACACTAGTGGATATAAAGTTTTATCTGTTTTCATCTGCATTTTTGTTTTTTTAATTATTAAATGTAATGTTAGTTTTTCTCTATGTTTTAATTTAAATACTTTTTATCAGGTTGAGGAAGGTCCATTGTATTCTTCATTTGCTGATTATTTTTACAATGAAATAGTGTTGGATTTTTGCCAAATGATTTTTTTCCATGCATCTATTGAAATTACCATGTCTTTTCTTTTTTTCCCCTTTTATTCCATTGATAGAGTATATTATGTATATTGATTTTAGGATGTTAAACCAACCTTCCCTTCCCGTGATATATCCCACATGGTCATGGTATGTAATGCTTATTATGTGTTGGGTTTGTTATAATTGTGTTGAGGATTTTTGTGTTCAGACTAGTAAACTGTATGGGTCTGCAGGTATTTTGATCATCTTTGGCTTCATTATTATTGTAATACTGGCCTCATAGAATGAGTTGAGAAATATCCACTCCTGATTTATTTTTTGAAGAATTTGCATATAATTCCTATTAATTTTGATTTAAGTATTTGTTAGTATTTGTCAGTAATGCCACTTAATCCTAGATATTTCTTAGCATAAATATTTATTTATTTGTTTTTTAAATAGTAATTTAATTTGCGTTTTTCTTGTTTGGCACATACGTTTACAATCGCCACCTCTTCTGATGGATTGACTCTTTTCTCATTATAAAATGAAGACTGTTATCTCTAGCAACCATTTTTTTTCTTTTAAAGCCTCTTTTGTTTTATATTAATATAGATAGTCCAGTTTTCTAAGATTATTATTTGAATGATTATTTATATCTTTTCTCAATCTTTTACTTTGAACCTAATTGTACATTTAAATGTGGAGTGTGTCTCCTGTAGATGGTTTATACTTGCCTATATCCAGAAGTTATGTGGGATGAAAATCTCTGGTTTTTTATTTAATTTTTAATCTATTTGATCTTAATGTTATAATTAGTATAGTTGAATTTATGCCTGCTATTTTCTTTTTGTTTTCATTATGATTCATATCTTTTTCATACCTATGATCTTCTAATAATGCATTCTTTTGTATTAATTAAATATTTGTAGGGAAAAATTTTAATACCTGTAATGTTATTTTTACTGTATTATATGTTATTTTCTTAATAGTTGCTCTGGGGCTTACTATAAACATTTTAATACATGCGAATCTATGACAGATTTATTTACCACAAATACTAACAAATTATAAGATAATATAGAAAAATTATTTCCCAATAAGTCTGTTTCTCCTACTACTCTTGTGCTCATATTATTATATATAATATAATGTACTTTATAAATATGTATGTATATGTTTAATATAAAAATCCCAATATTGAACAAAAATGATTATTAAATATTATTAAATAATTCAATTGTTTTCTCAGTACAAGTAACTTTTTCATAAGCAGAAGATACCCTTTGCTGAAATAATGCATACATACCTGGATATATTAAATTAATCATCATAAATAGCTTCAAGTTGACACCCACTTTCTTGAAAGTTAGTTGTGTTTTCCTGATTTTTTTTCTATGCCTTCTCGGAATATATAGACAAAAATATTCCTTAGTATATTCTTCAGTCAAACAACTGCATCCATTTGCACATATATAAAAATAAGAAATAAGAATAATTTATATCTGCAACATATGTGACAATATTACAGTCATTTCAATTTTTGAATTTCATGTCCATTTTCTATTATTGTGTTCCTTTAGCAAAGGTGAAATATATTGTTTTGATTTATGTCAAAGTCATAAATTAAATAAAAATATAGTCATGTGCCATTCAGTGGCACTCAAATTATGAAAAAAAATGTGTAAATTATGCAAGGCTAAATGCCCATTATGTAATTATTTTTAAAACATTTTTAAATTTAAGCTAGTCATATTTTTATAGTTATTGCTTGTATGTTAACAGGTATGGTGGAAATAAAATTATATTCAGGCCCAGATCCATGGAAAACCTGTATCCTGTATCACTATACAGGTTTTACTTCTTGAGTGAGTTATTTGTATTCCCCTGTGAACCGAGTATAACATTTTACTGCATCCCATATTAAAAAGTAATTAAAAATTTTAACACATGTATTTTATATATTGCATGAAAGTCATATTTTATTTTTTAAAAATTAAAATATAGTTTTACATTAAAAATATTATTTTTACTATTATACAACTCTTCCACAGTTATGCCCTATGGATTTCCCCAAAGAAGTTAATTCTTATTCACCAATTAATTAATTCTTATTCACCAAAGAAGTGCACATGTTGTGGAAAACTTAAACCCAGGCATATCTTTTCCTAGTTCTCACAAATGAATTCAAAACACCTGTAGAACTTTTTTTCATGTTTCCTTTGGGTTTTGGTTTATTTATATCCAAAAATTTATTTGCCATCAGTGACAAATGATTAGAAATTTGGTTTCATGATCTGACCCTTTGATAATTGATTAATGTTTATAGAGATCTAATTAGCCTCTGTTTGGTAAAAAGTAACTTACAATCTGTTTTTCCATTTTTCAATTTGGTGCTCAAGTCAATTAAAAATGTGAAATCCATTTGAAAGTGGAGCAGTTCTTTAACATGGGCAGATGAGTTCTTTTTTCAAATGTTATTTATTTTTAACCCATGGCTAAAATATTGTAATTGAATCTGTAAGTTTTCTTTATTTTTGTTTGTATGTCTATATGTTTATAGCTCAGAAAATTCTTTATCCCTCAATTTTTTTTTATTTTATTTTATTTTTAATTAATTTATTTACTTTTTAAATACATTTGTCTCTGCCTTCCCCCCACCTCTTTCCCTTGCCCCCTCCCACCTTCCCTCCCTCAGCTCTTCCCCTTTGGTTTTGTCCATGAGTCCTTGCTATATGTTCCTTGACTTTCCCCTTCCCTTCCCTTTCCCTGCCCCCCCCTTCCCTCTTGTCTCTGTTGATTTCTTTTCCTTTCAGTGTTGCTGGTCATATTTTCCTTGCTTCTTTGCATTGTTGGTTAGGTTCCGCTTATAGGTGAGATCATATGGTATTTGTCTTTCGCCCCCTGGCTTATGCTATCCCTCAATTTTAAACATGTAATCATTTCTCACATACAAAGGTATTCGTGTAAAGTTTCTTAAAAGAGCAATGTTATAATTGGCTTACTAACTTATGTAAGCACTTTCTTAGGAGACAACAAATTTTGTTGTCTCATACTACATTTTATGACACTGACACTTTTATTATTCTCTGTCCCCACATATATGTAAATATATATAAATACATATCATTTTGTTTTATGAAATTTGTGATTGTATCATACTTTATCCCCAATTACTTAAGTGTATATTTTTTATAAAAACAGGAATATTTGTTTATACTACTTCAGCAATATTATCAAATTTAGGAAATTAACTTTTATATAATATTATATTTCATAACCTATATACTTTATCAAAATTTTCCAATTATTCAAAGGGACTATATTAAAAAATCCAATATGTACCTTCTCCATCTTCAACATAACTAGAAAAGACAACACACCAAAACTTCAAATAAATCATGGTATGATATGTAGAAACCTCAATTCTTAGCAAAGTATTAGAATAAAAGTTGTACCAGACAAAGCTAAAAAGTCAGGAAAGATTATTCAAGGTTATTGCAATAAAGACGAAACTCAGTACTACTGAAACAAAAGACAGGAGGGTTTTTTAGTGCTACCATAAGCTAGTATAAAAGTACTGTACAAAGTTACGGGAGAGATTGATCAGTAAGACGTGTAAGGTACCTTGAATTACTCCTGATTTTTCAAAGACTGTGCTCTGAGAACAGGACTGTGTTTGTTAATTGGAGACCCTGTCAGGGGGGTGGGACTAACAGCCAGGGGTACTATCTCTTTCAGTATTTACATTTCAAAAAGAGTGTTCGCAGTTTCCTGAATTTAAACCTGGCAAGAGTCTGAGAGACGATTTCCATATATTTCAAAAAGTCAGACAAGAATATACAATAGAATGTTTTCTAAAGTAAATTCTCTAAGAAAAAGGAATTTAGGGATTTATAGTCAAACAGAAATTTATCTCAGGTTTAGTCATGGCAAGGGAAACATTAAGAATGTCTTCTTCATATTCTTAGCTAAATAAAAATAATTATGTGCCCCTCAATGGCAGAAATATGTTCTGAGAAATGTATCACTGAGTGATTTCCTAGGTGTGAAAACATCATAGAGCACCATTACTCAAACCTAGATGGTATAGCCTAATACTAACCTAGGCTACAGGGGAGGAAAATTAATTTTCCTTGTATCCTTTTGGGTTCTTGGCTAAGACATCTCTGGCATAAAAGATAATTAACAGGAGAAAACTGAACAGAAGTTTATTAACATGTACACACCCTATATACATGGGAGAGACCCAAGAAAACTGGGTAACTCACCAAAATGGCTAAAGCCACCACCTTAAAATGCCATCTTTAGCTTGAAAACAAAAGAATATGTTGGGATGAGATGTCAATTGGGAGGTTAACAGGGAAAGTACAATGAACAAGGGAAGGTTGTTATGCAGATTTATATCTTGTCCTCTGCATTGATAAGAGTTTCTAGATATAAGTTCCCCTCTCTTGCTCCAACAGCCTGAGAGACAAATGGAGATATCCCTTAAAAATGTAAATATCTTTTACAAAGGGTAACTTCAACTTGATATTCAGGGCTTCTCAGATGTCTACTGTTTCCTTCAATTAATGAGTCTAAAATGATCCTAATGACAAGGAGACATATTTGAGGATGACAAACTATGTTTTCCTACAGCTCCTAAACTTCAAATATGTACAGAATATTACTGTACTAAATACTTTAGGTAATTGTAACATAAGGGTAAGTGCGTGTATGTGTTTTGCTAAGACTTTACAATGGCTACAAGGTCACTAGGCGATAGAAATTTTTCAGCTCTACTATAATTTTATGGGTCCACCATCCATCACTATGGGGGGCATGACTGACTGTATATTGAGATGAATTAAAATCCAAATTTATACTGGCTTGGAACAAGACAAAAGTACTGAAATAGGTTAAATTTGGTAGAGCTCTTTTCTAGTCCAACTTTCAGTATCTCTTTGTCTCTTCCATATGTTTTCAAAATATCCTCCATTCCTGGTCACTGAAGACAGGGCACTTTGAACACAAAGTGACAAAAGAAGAATTCTGAGTTATCCTAAACTAAATTATAGTGGCCCAGAAATTAGAGAAAGAGACAAAAGCAATTAACCTGTTAATACCTGTGGACAACTGAAAGATAGCTCACATTCCTGAAAGTACGTCGGAGCTTGATCAACTTCCAAGTGGTTACCTAACAAGAGGTAGCCAACCACCCGACACCAATGCTTCCTGCTTACACATGAACTTTCTGAACTGTTCCCCATAACCAATCAGAAGTAGAAAATATTTCTTTTGTGCACTTCCTAGGGCTGTGCACCTAAAACTGCCTGCAATTTAACTTTTCCTAGCTGCTTAACTATAACCAATGTAAATTCTTTCAAAACGACATATCTTTCTTCCCCCAAACATAACATATAAGAGAGCTGTCAACCCCAGGTCAGTGGATATACTATCTTCCCCATTAACCCTGCTACTCGTGGTTCAGACTGTATGCCCCAGCACCTGGTCCTTTTACTTGCTGCCATATGGCTCAATAAATCCATTCTTTTAGAAAAGCTTTAGAGAGTGAATACTTTTTGTTTTGTTTTGTTTAACAAAAGAAATGAAAGAATACTCTTGGATTTTCAGTCTTTGATGATGAAAATTTAAATAAACCTAACTCCTTGTCTTATATTAAAAAAAAGAAAAACACTGAGAAAGAGCAAAAAAAAAAATAACTTACTCTTTGCTACATGAAATATTTGTTTCTAAAGGTAAAACTGAGAACTAACTAAGTTATTTACCAACTAGCAACTTACTCATCAAACTCACTTTAAGATTATCATCTCATTGTGTCCACCTGTACAAAACTTTACTTATAAATTCTTACCAATCCTTAGTAGTAAACCTCATCCCCTGCCAACCAAGGCTCTGATTATCTTCCCACAACTTCTCCTTTCTGAGATACTAGTAAATTTCTGTTAAGGTGTTGTTTTCCCTTATTGCATAAATCTAAGAGGATTATTTTTCTTCACCAATGGAATTATCTCGTAGTCTTTTGCTGGGTCAACCGTGAACTAACACACAATTCTGTGAAGAGCCAATTAAGATGTTCTTACTGCTAAACCTTAGGACCTAAGACTGCAAACAGTGCTCTACTATGAAATCACCAGGTATTCCTCTTTTTATCTGTGACCATGATATAGATACAGTATCAAGTCTGAACTCCAATTTCTTTTCATCAAATTCCCACATGCTAAGTTTAGTTAGTTTTCTTAATAATAAGGAAATACCTTAGGAATTGTTTGATTATGCGATATAGTTTAACTGGAGAGATAACAAATCTCTGTCAACTTTACCTCTTCTGGTGATCCTAGAAAAGGATGTCTACTATGATAAGGCAAGCATAGGTCTTAAAAATGTCATCATCTATCTGACTTAAATAAACAATAAGTTCAGATGGTCACATCAATCTGCATTTCTTGGACAAAATTTTTCCTAAATT